GGTGAGCGCGCAGAGCCACGCCAGCCCCGGAGTGAGGAGAGAGCCCTACAGGCAGGGCCTGTCTGGTATGGCCCCGGCCGACTCGGTGAAATCTCGCGGGGCTCAGAGTCGCGGAGCTCCCAGCTGCTCGGTGTGCGAACTCTGTCCACACGGAGCAGCTGTTGAGCGGCTGCGGCTGCGGCTATAGCAGCACGCAGGCAGGCCGGATGCGGAGGCTGCGGCTATAGCAGCACGCAGGCAGGCCGGATGCGGAGGCTGCGGCTATAGCAGCACGCAGGCAGGCCGGATGCGGAGGCTGCGGCTATAGCAGCACGCAGGCAGGCCGGATGCGGAGGCTGCGGCTATAGCAGACAGCACGCAGGGAGCAGGCAGGCCGGATGTTGAGGCGGGAGCCAGGCAGAGGACCGAGGAGAGGGAGCGGGGAGGGCAGAGGGCGAGCCTCTTGCTGCGCGTCGCTCTGGTAGCTCAGCAGCGGAGGCCGCGTCATCGGGGAGAGGCATCCGGAGGGAGGCCCCGCACGCCCGACGGCACAGAGCGCCTCGATGACGCTCGTCTCAAAGGCAGTGCCCAGCGCCGGCAGCTGGTCTGCCGCCCACCGATCCCACTCTGCTGCAGGCAGCTCGGCCGCGTCCGCGACGGCGGCGCCCAGAGCCGTGTCGTCGCCCTCGCCGCCCCCCGAAGCCCGCATCGCGCCGCTGAGAAGAGCGGTGAGGCGGTCCGCGCCGAGCGGGCCATCGCGGTCGCCTCCGGCGTACAGGGAGCGAAGGAGGCCCATGCGCTGCCGCGCGCTCTGCCGACTGCGCACCGTGAGAGCGAGACCGAGGACAAAGGCGTCGAACCCAAGACCTCCGCCGGGGTGGCCGCGCGCCGCTACCGCCTCAAGCAGCACGCGATGAAGCTCCTCCCACGGCAGCACGGGTGGAAGTGCCGACGTGAGCGCCTCGGCCGTCAGCACTCCGTCAGGCGCGAGGGTGGAGAATGCGACCCGAAGCTCGCTCAGTTCCACGGAGTTTATTCTCTCGCTGACTTCGCCGGGTGGCGCCGCAGGTTTGGACTCTTCAGCGCCCATCGTCGAAGCAGGGCTGGTGTATTGAAAAGCAGGGCCGGAGGCCGCCGAGGACGCCGGCGGCGCGCCGACTTTTTCAAAGAATTTTAGTACCCGCGCCATCTCCTTTAAATTCCTGTGTGGTTGCGCCGTGCCTGTCCTCCCATCCCTCCCTTGGGTTTTCTGTTTTCTTTCTTTCTTTTTTCGGCGCGGTGGACCACACACCTCTCCTTAAAATCCCTGTGTTGTGGCGGCGTGCCGTCCTCCCATCCCTCCCTTGGGTTGTCTGTTGTCTTTCTTTCTTTCTTTTAGCCAAAAGGTTCGACACAGGAATTTTACACGGGCTGGGGTGCCGTCCTCCCATCCCTCCCTTGGGTTGTCCATTTTCTTTCTTTCTTTTTGCGGTGGCAAGGGTCGCGTTGGAGGCAGCTCTCGGCGTGGCGGAGGTTGAGGATTTCCGCGACTGGCTGCTCGACCCACAGTAAGCTGGACAGCCGATCGACGGTGAACGCATCACCCAGTGGCGCGCCTCCGAAGCGTACGAGCGCGCCCGGCTCGAGTACATGGACGGTTGCATGTGCGAGGGTGCGTGCACGTGCACCTACGATGGCGTAGGCATCGCCCCAGACGTGTCCGGAGTCACCTGCGACTACTTCGACGAGGCGCTTTTGGAGCCGCGCGCCAACGATGGGCAGCCGTCAGGCGGGGATTGGGTGCCGGAGGGCTGGGATGGCGTTGAGGCCGATCGGCATGAGGAGCGGGCTAAACTCGAGCGTGAGCGGATTGAGCGAGAGAAGCAAGACGACCTCGCACACGCTTCAGAGAAAATTTGGGCGCCAGATTCTGAGACTGGTGATTGGGGCCTCTCCACCCGTGCGCCGTGGCAGCATTGCCAACTTTCGCACCCGCCGTGTAAACTTCTCTTGCGCGTATCAAGCTTACACGGGCGATGCTGCTGAGGCCGATGCATACCTGCGCGACCCGGGTTCAGAGGCGTCACAGGCATGGCTCGAGGCGCAGCTTGCTCCAGGCGGTGGAGGTCCGACACCGCCTGGCTCGCCCGCCTACGGGGATAACTTCTGCCCTACCCCGGACTCGCCAGTGAGGCGGCCACGCGAGGAGGCGCCTGACGACAGCGACGCATATGAGCTCGACCAGGAGCGCGCGCTGGAGTTGCAGGGGCGCATCTCCTTATTTTATGGCCGGCCTTGGGACGAGGTGCCGAGAGGCGCGACGGTGCCAGTGACTTGCGAGTGGACCATAGCATCATTCAGCCGACAGCAGCAAATGCATCGCCCGCTCTCGCCCGCGCCGGTAGCCACGGACTTTGACATTGAGGACGAGTTCCTGCAGGAGCGTGCGCGGTGGTTCCGCGACCACGGAGGTGGCGGCGAGCTGGAGGGCTCGACGCGAAAGCAGAACGTAGAACGAGGCATTCCAGCGTTTGAAGGACTCTGAAGGACCGCCTCTTTAGCCTTCGCCGCGACCGCGCGAACCCGTCGGGCACACCGCGTGCCTCGCAACGCCGGGCGTCGGGCGCCGGATCAAGCACCGACCCCCTCCCTGTGAGACTGTGGACGGTGCCTGAGACTCGAGCCTGGCTGGAATGGAACATCGGAAGAGCTTTACATTACGAATTATAATTACGAAAAATGTTCTCTAAAATGTTGCGAGCGAGGTACATGTACATGCAAATCGCGATGCAGTTTGCAGCACTCTCCACACTCGAACGAACGTCGGTGGAGGATAAGTGAGTACCTGTGTGCCAGGAGAAAAAGGCGGGTACCCGCTGCAGGTCCCACACTAGTCAACATCGAGAAATCACGGCCGCAATCACGTCTTTTGCCGATTGCCGACTGGACTTGGGGCGCGGGCGCTTTTGCGATTGCAATACATCGTGCAGTTGCACCTGACTGTGCGCCGGGTTTCGAGCAGCAGCAGCGTCTCGCAGAGATGTCCGACGACGTTGGGCTCGAGGCGCGCCGGCCGCCGCGCAGCGCCCTTCTCACTCCGCCCCCGCCCTCCTCCGGTCGCCCCCCCAACCCGCTCGCACTTGCCGTCGCTCACAGCGCATGTAGCATGCATCAGTGGCAGAGCATGTGTGGCGTGTTCGCGTTACACCACTCTGGTGCTGTTCTTGCCTGTGGTCCTTGCTTTGTCTGAGCCCCTATCTCACTCACTCGCTTGGCAGGTGTTCTCACTCGCTCGCTTACCAATGCATCTCATCGTTCTGCTCGCGTCTATGCGCACTGTCACCGGGCACCTTGCTCACGATGCGACAGCGCATGAGAGCTGGAGCACCGCAAGCGACCCCGACAAGGCGGCGGCAATCGTGGCAAACTTTAATCAAGACGGGGTCGAGCGGCATTCGCGACGCCTTCTTGAGTCCGGGTATGAATGGAAGGTCAGCGGGTGTGAAGATTCCTACTATGGATGTGCCGGCAATGCGTCCGACATGTGCGGATGTCACACATTTAGCTTCTGTTCCCCCTATTGCGATAGGGGCGGTGGCCCTGGATCGGACCGATGCTGGATCGGCCAAGAGCTCAACCCCCCAGGTCTACAGGCTAGTGATTGTTGGCAGCATACCTCCACCAAGCAGTGCTGCTGGACCTATGCCTATGTGCAGCTCTGGGACTTTAACCTCGACACATGGAGTTTTGGCTGCTGCGGATACCAGCCACGTGGAACTATTATCGACAGGGATATTAATTGTGATCTTGGCGGAATGCTACCTGTTTGTGCACAGCCGTCGCCCCCGTCGCCCCCTTCACCACAATCACCCTCGCCCTCGCCGCCGCCGCCTTCACCACCGCCCACGCCGCCCCCGCCCTCCGCCTCGCCGTCGCCCCCGCCCTCTGCATCGCCCTTCCCGCCCCCGCCCTCCGGCCCCCCGTTCCTGCCCCCGCCACCGCCTCCCTCGCCACCGCCTCCGTCTCCGCCACCGCCATCGCCTCCACCTCCGTCTCCGTCGCAGCCGCCGTCCCAGCTGCCTTCTCCGCCGCCGCCCTCACCTCCGCCGCCCTCGCCACCGCAACCCTCGCCACCAGCTTCGCCACCCACTAGTCCAGCTTCGCCACCCACGAGTCCAGCTTCGCCACCCGCTACTCCATTTGATGGGTGGCACCTCGTGCACGTGAAGGCAGCGTGCAGCTTCAACCCCCTTGGCACTGCCACGGTGACCGACTGTACCAACTCTCTTACAACCAACTGCGCATCACCGATTGGATCTGATCGGGACTGGACCGTGGCGAAGTGGGTGTTTGGTAACGATGCGCCCACCTCTCCATGGGTCGCTTTCACACGTGACCCATCCGATAGCAGCGGGGCGAACTATCAGTTCGCAAGGCTGCTCACATTGGGTTCGGCCAGCGGTATCTCGGTCTCCAATCGGGATGTCCCTGGCTGGTCCAGCAGCCATCCAACCTTGGACAGCTCGGGTGTCATCAAGCTAATGTTTTACAGAACGAACCACTACATCACTCAAGTTTGGGGCGCCCGTCCCCGATACCTCTCCATGTTCACCGACAATGGGCCCGGCGACACCGACGGAAGCCGGAAGTGCATTGCTGGTACATGCCGAGGCTGCGAGGCTGACCCGGCGTGGCTCCTTGTTCGCTACTCGCCCTCCCCGCCGCCTCCGTCACCCTCGACGCCGTCTGTTCCTGCAGTTCCGCCCTCGCCGCCGCAGCCGCCGCAGTCGCCCCTTTCTCCACCACCGAGCCCGCCACCGGAACCCTCGCCGCCGCCACCCTCGCCGCCGCCACCCTCACCGCCGCCGCCCAGCTTGCCTCCGACGAGCCCGCCGCTCGCTCCGCTGCACCAGACCCTGACGTTCTGGAGCAGCCGCGCGACGGGTCCTACCTGGTGCACGGTGTGCAGCCAGGTGTACGGCTGCACGTCCTGGGGTTCGGACCACTCCCACCCTTGGGCTGGCAACTGGCCGAACTTCGAGATGTCTGGCTACAGCGGCAGCGTCACCTCCTTGACCCTGACCGCGTATGGAACGTCGATTGGCTCGCCGACGCTATCCGCGACGATCGCTGGGGTGACCTTATCGATCGACGCGTCGAACGGCGGTTCAAACGCGTGCTCCGTGTGCAAATCGTGGTCGTCAACGAGCGACACATACGAAAGCGGCATCGCCGACTGGACTTGGGGATCGGTCGCGTTTGAGCCGACATCTTCCTCGATGGGGACTGCGCACCCAAATGCGTGCATCGCCAAGTTCTCGCTCACCGTCACGAGTACCATGATGCCGCCAGCGACCCCTCCTCCGTCACCCTCGACGCCGTCTGTTCCTGCAGTTCAGCCCTCGCCACCTCCGATGCCGCCTGCCCCTCCCTACCGGCCGCCGATGCCGCCGTCGCCGCCACCGGCTGCATACATGTATGTCCTTGGAGGCTATTCGTGCTCGACGATACCTTGCCAGGTGTGCATGTGCCTGATGCCCCCCGCCCATGCCCCACGCCCAACATGCCCTGTGCCCCACCCCGTACCAGGAGATATGCCGACACAAGTACATGGAGCGGTACGACCCTGTGCAGGATGCGTGGAGTGCCGCGGCCTGTGCGCCGTCATCTCGCCCGCTGCAGCAGGCCACTCGCCACTCGCCACTATCCCCTCGCCACACTGGCCACGCCTCCAGCCGTCCACTCACCCCGCCGCATGCAGGTCACGATGACAGCCCTCGGCGGGTATGTCTATGCGGTCGGCGGCGACGGGCATGGGCTGCCGGGCGGCTCCGCCGAGCGGCAAAATCTGCGCTACGACCCGACGGGGAATAGCTGGGCGTTCCGTGCCAGTGCCCCGTACGACATCGGCACCTCGGCCGTCTCCCTCTTCGGCCACATGTACGTCTTTGGCCAGGGCAGAATCCAGCGGTACGACCCGGTCGCCAACAGCTGGGCGCAAATGGGCTTCATGCCGAGCGGTTGGGAGATCCCCACAGGTTCACACCCGCCCTTCCACATCGTCCCTTTGCATGCTGAACCGGCTGAGAGACCTTCGCTGGTCGGCCGCTGTGTTAACACCGTCATCCCCACCCGCCCTTCACATGCCGAGCTTGCACGAGCCCCCCCGTCAGGTCGGCCGCTGTGGCCAAGCGTCGCGGTGCTGGAGCACCTCATTTATTTTGGTTGCGATGGCACCCCACGGCTAATCTCGTACGCTCCTCCGGCTGACGGCAACTCGCAACATGCCGTCTGGACGCCACTCGCGTCGATGGCGTGCACTCGCAAGCAGGTCACGCTGGCCCTTAAAAAGGCCTTTAAACCCATAAGCCCTCGCAAGCGGGTCGCAGGCCTCACGGCGCTCGGCGGCGCCCTCTCACTAATCCTAAATGCTCACCCCCTGCACCCTTCAACCCTCTCACCTCTCACCTCTCACAGGTCAATGGCCTCGCGCCGCTCAACGGCTACCTGTACGCTGCTGGCGTCGAGTGCAACGGCGCGTGGGGCGTGGTCGAGCGGTACGACCCCGCCCTCGACGCGTGGACCTTCGTCGCGCCTACCATCGGACGCTTCGAGGAGCGGAACAACCACCTCCTCACGTTCAATGGCTACCTGTACGCGCTCAGCGATAGCCAGTCGAACTCCGAGATGGAGCGGTACGACCCGGCCGCGGGCCCGAATGGCACGTGGATGGCTGTGCAGGGCATGACATACCCTCGCGGCGCCTATGGGCTGAGCGTTGGTGGGATTGCACCGCCCTCGCCGCCGCAGCCGCCGCAGTCGCCCCCTTCTCCACCACCGAGCCCGCCACCGGAACCCTCGCCGCCGCCACCCTCGCCGCCGCCACCCTCACCGCCGCCGCCCAGCTTGCCTCCGACGAGCCCGCCGCTCGCTCCGCTGCACCAGACCCTGACGTTCTGGAGCAGCCGCGCGACGGGTCCTACCTGGTGCACGGTGTGCAGCCAGGTGTACGGCTGCACGTCCTGGGGTTCGGACCACTCCCACCCTTGGGCTGGCAACTGGCCGAACTTCGAGATGTCTGGCTACAGCGGCAGCGTCACCTCCTTGACCCTGACCGCGTATGGAACGTCGATTGGCTCGCCGACGCTATCCGCGACGATCGCTGGGGTGACCTTATCGATCGACGCGTCGAACGGCGGTTCAAACGCGTGCTCCGTGTGCAAATCGTGGTCGTCAACGAGCGACACATACGAAAGCGGCATCGCCGACTGGACTTGGGGATCGGTCGCGTTTGAGCCGACATCTTCCTCGATGGGGACTGCGCACCCGAATGCGTGCATCGCCAAGTTCTCGCTCACCGTCACGAGTACCATGATGCCGCCAGCGACCCCTCCTCCGTCACTGCCGCCACCCATCGTGCCATCGTTTCTGGTCTCGCCGCCGCCCGCGCTGCCGCCCTCGCCGCCCGCGCCACCTCCGTCTCCATCGCCGCCTCCGTCATACTCAACCATCTCACACACGAACTTCTCGTACACGGGCAACGACGTGACGTTCCCGCTCAACAACGCCACGTGCGTCAACGTGACGCTCAAGGGCGCTGGAGGCGGGGAAAGTTGCAACGGCGCCTATCCAGGCGCCAGCGGCGGCTACACCTCCGCAATCGTTGTTCTCCCCGCGGGCACGTCTGCGCTGACCATCATCGTCGGCGAGGCTGGCCCAAAGTGCTACCGCTCGTCGCGTGCATATGGCGGCGGCGGTCGGGGTGGGAATGACGGCGGGAACGGCGGCGGTGGCGGCGGAGGCCGCAGCGCGATCCGCATCCATGGCGTTAACGCCGACCTGCTCACCGCAGGGGGCGGCGGCGGCGCCGGCAACTTTAACAGTTATGCCCCCGGCGCCGGCGGTGGGAGCGTGGGTGGCCATTCTGCGGGTTGGCCCGGCGGCTACGGAGGCACCCAAACGGGGGGCGGCTCGCGCGGCTGCGGCGGCTTCCGGTGTGGTAGCAACGGCTGGCAGTACAACGGCGGCGACTCTAGCCACTCGGGGTATGGCGGCGGCGGCGGCGGCGGCGGCTACTTTGGCGGCGGCGGCGGCGGCGGTCAGCACCACAACCATGGCCCCGGCGGCGGCGGCTCCGGCTTCATCGGGCCGTACACAACGGTCGTCTACGCCCTGGAAGATACCACGACCAGTGCCGGGGCCGGCCCCTCGGAATACGGCGAGGTGACGATCGGTGTGGTGACGACTGACGTTGATGGCCAATGCATCGTGCCATCGTTTCTGGTCTCGCCGCCGCCCGCGCCGCCGCTCTCGCCGCCCTCGCCGACCTCGCCTCCCTCGCCTCCGCCTCCCTCGGCTTCGCCCTCTCCGCCGCCGCCGTCGCTTTCCCCCTCGCCGCCGTCGCCGTCGCTTTTTCCCTCGCCACCACCCCCCTCGCCGCCGCAACCCTCACCGCCGCCGCTCAGCCCGCCTCCCTCGAGCCCGCCGCCGCCATCCCCGCCATCCCCTCTTCCTCCCTTGCCGCCACCGCCCTCGCTCTCACCGCTTCCTCCTCCACCCTTGCCGCCGCCCTCGCCGCCGTCTCCATCGCCGCCTCCGTCATACTCAACCATCTCACACACGAACTTCTCGTACACGGGCAACGACGTGACGTTCCCGCTCAACAACGCCACGTGCGTCAACGTGACGCTCAAGGGCGCTGGAGGCGGGGAAAGTTGCAACGGCGCCTATCCAGGCGCCAGCGGCGGCTACACCTCCGCAATCGTTGTTCTCCCCGCGGGCACGTCTGCGCTGACCATCATCGTCGGCGAGGCTGGCCCAAAGTGCTACCGCTCGTCGCGTGCATATGGCGGCGGCGGTCGGGGTGGGAATGACGGCGGGAACGGCGGCGGTGGCGGCGGAGGCCGCAGCGCGATCCGCATCCATGGCGTTAACGCCGACCTGCTCACCGCAGGGGGCGGCGGCGGCGCCGGCAACTTTAACAGTTATGCCCCCGGCGCCGGCGGTGGGAGCGTGGGTGGCCATTCTGCGGGTTGGCCCGGCGGCTACGGAGGCACCCAAACGGGGGGCGGCTCGCGCGGCTGCGGCGGCTTCCGGTGTGGTAGCAACGGCTGGCAGTACAACGGCGGCGACTCTAGCCACTCGGGGTATGGCGGCGGCGGCGGCGGCGGCGGCTACTTTGGCGGCGGCGGCGGCGGCGGTCAGCACCACAACCATGGCCCCGGCGGCGGCGGCTCCGGCTTCATCGGGCCGTACACAACGGTCGTCTACGCCCTGGAAGATACCACGACCAGTGCCGGGGCCGGCCCCTCGGAATACGGCGAGGTGACGATCGGTGTGGTGACGACTGACGTTGATGGCCAATGCATCGTGCCATCGTTTCTGGTCTCGCCGCCGCCCGCGCCGCCGCTCTCGCCGCCCTCGCCGACCTCGCCTCCCTCGCCTCCGCCTCCCTCGGCTTCGCCCTCTCCGCCGCCGCCGTCGCTTTCTCCCTCGCCGCCGTCGCCGTCGCTTTTTCCCTCGCCACCACCCCCCTCGCCGCCGCAACCCTCACCGCCGCCGCTCAGCCCGCCTTCGCCGAGCCCGCCGCCGCCATCCCCGCCATCCCCTCTTCCTCCCTTGCCACCATGTCGATACGACGGCGAGTCCGACTGCACCTCCAGCCGCGAATGCGCCTGCCACGGCGCAATCAATTACCATTTCAACGCGTACTGGGACCGCAACAATTACGGCGGCGGGCACTGCTCCAGCTGGAATGGCAACCCGGGCAAGCCGTGCGGGTGCGTTGGTCCCGACAGGCGATGGCGATGCGGCGTGGCGTGGCCATGCCATTCGACGTATGGCTACCTGTGCTTTTCCCCCCCACCGTCGCCGCCGCCACGACCCTCACCACCACCCGCACCGGCGCCGCCACCAGCACCATCACCACCCTCGCCTCCGCCTCCCTCGGCTTCGCCCTCTCCACCGCCGCCGTCGCCGTCGCCGTCGTCTCCAGCGGATGCACTTGCGCTGAGAAAGCCGCGGATGTCGACGGGCCACTCCACCAGCTTCGCCAAGAAGGCTCGTCACGCATAGCCACTATCTAGATCTAGGTTGTGCCTATTTATCACACTACGGCTCGTGCTCGCAGTTCTTGGCCAAGGTGACCGACGGCAAAAGCAAGACATTTGGCAAGAGCAAGAAGCAGACCAGCCCGTGGTTCTCCGCCAAGGCACCCCGGCGTTCCTCGCCCTCTCCCCTCTCGTGGCATTTCACCATTGGCGACCCCCCTTCCCTGACACATTAGGCCACCATGGAGAATCAGCAGCCCATCAGCTCCGTGACCGTCACCCGGGACACCAAGAACAAGCCGTCAAAGGCGAAGAAATATCTCGAAGACTTCGAGATCTGGGTCGGCAAGAAGGCTGGAGAAAAGGCGGTGAAATGCGGCGGACCATTTGCCTGGTCAGAAATCAAGAAAGGGCCCGTCACGGCGCCGTGCGACGCTGCCAAGTCCAAGCGCGTCTGCCACCCTTCCCACCGCCACGCCTCAATCCCGACTAGTTCCCGTGACTAGTTCCCGTGACTAGTTCCCGTGACGATGGTGCGCGCCTGGGAAGCAAGCCTCTCCCCCCCCCCCCCCCGACCAGGCACCGCTACGTGACTGTCATTCTCCCCGGCACGAAGAACACGCTGGCGTTTGGCGAGATAAAGGTGCGGGCCGCGGCGCCAGCGTCGCCGCGCACCGGCAGCGGCACGCGCCTCAACTCGGCGGGGCGGCTGATCGACGCGAGCACCGGCCGCTACGTCGCATCGTCGTCGCCGCGCTCGCCCGCTCCCGCCCGTGCCGTCTCGCCACCCCGCACGCCGGTCCGCGCCCCGCCTGCCGCGGCGCCAGCGTCGCCGCGCACCGGCAGCGGCACGCGCCTCAACTCGGCGGGGCGGCTGATCGACGCGAGCACTGGCCGCTACGTGCCGCAGAAGTGAGCGGTAAGCGCCAGCATGACGGCACCCACGAGGGCATCGCGGTCGAGGTCACCGTGGTGGGGGCAGCATGCGGCGGCGAGTAGCGGTGGTCGGAGCCTCCAGCCAGTACGCAGTGGCAGCCCTGCTGCAGAAGTGAGCACTCGGGACGAGGGTGTGCATGTGCATACGCATGTGCGATGTGGGTGTTATGTGCGTGTTTCTTGTGTGCTGTGCCTGCTCGCTGCTGTGCGGTGGGTGTGGCATCTGGCTGAGAACTGCTGCTAACATACCGGGCTCGGGGCCCCTGTACTCTCTCGCGGCATTCGATTCGCTTGCAACACTACTCTCACTAGCCGCGGGCAGCGTGCGCCACTGCAACCAGCAGCTAGCCAGCAGCGTGCATTACGTTTACACGCACCCGGCAGACTGCCCAGCGCTGAATGCGCAGCGCTGACTTGTGTGTGTGACAGTCCGTCACTCCGTCTGGGGACGTGGGGAGTGACACCGTACAGCTGGTTCACAAGCCACTTCACAAGCCAGGCCGGCGCCGCCGCGCGCGCCGGCGCCGTCAATCTAGCTAGGAAGCTGCTGTGTGCTGAGCCGTCAATCTAGCTAGCTGCTGTGTGCTGACCAGGTGCTGACGCAGGGGGGGGGGGGGGGGGGAATTACCGTAAAGAATAATAAATAATCCATTGTGGCCCAGTGGCCAGTGCTCTCCTCTCATGCTGCTGATTCGTGATTGCCGCCCCCCCAGCTCTCCCGTCTCCCGGAATCGTCTCCCGGCACGCACGCACGCTAGCTACGCTATCAATGCTCAATCAGCCGTCAGATCTCATCGAGATATCGTGGCGGGGACCTGTTCCTTTTTACCCATCTCCACCCACCTCCCCGCGCGGGGCCGCTCCGGAGCGACCCGGCCGCCCTCCGACCCCACTGCCATTCTACTATCCTTCAACAGTAGAGGTGTCCGTTTTTATTTATTATCTCTCCCTGGAGATGACTGCTCTATTTATTCTGATCACCTCGTTGAAGACGCCAGTCGTCAACGCGGGCGGCAGCCGCTCCTCCATGCGCGCAGAAGGCAGCTCTTTCTGCACGTAGTTCATCACAGAGGCAACCCACCCGTCGTACATCGGGTTGGCCACACCTGCGTCTGGCCACCGGCGCAGCTCCTCCTTCAGCCAAACGCGCAGCGCCGTCGCGTACTGTTGGATGCTCTGCAGCTTGTACGGCGCGTCCTTGTACGGCCCCCACCCGAACGTGCCCTTCTTCTCGACCGGCATCATCATCTCCGCCTGCGAGAGCCCGTAAGCCGCCGTGGCGTACAGCTGAGGATCAGCTCGGAGCTCCCGGCAGCCGCCCTTCTCCACCTCGCCGGTCATCATGCCCACGCAGAACTCGATGAAAGCGGACACCGCCGGCACTCGCGGCACCTCCTTGCCGCGCACCTTGTCAACAATGAGCTGCAGATTGGCCAAGCCGTCCTCCTGGGTCACCACCTCGCAGAACGGCGGGTAGCCCTGCTTTTGGCCCCACGCGTTCATGGTCAGCACGCGCTTCTCGTACTGCGCGGCCACCCGCTGCTGCCGCTCCTACATGGATCCACACACACGTGAGCCCGACCGAGAGAGGTGCTCTGGCTCCCTCACCGCCCCGTTGAGCACCTTGCCTTTGAAGCCGTCCGCCTTCAGCCACAGGTTAAACTTCACTTGGTGCTCCTTGTCGGAGGCGAAGTCCTTGCGGTGCGGCATCGTCACTACGGACACAGAGCCCGCCGGAGTCTCCCGGGCAATTTGCTCGGTACCGCGCCAGCGGGCCTTCTTGATGAGCGAGTCGTGCTTCGCCGCCGTCGCCGCGATTCCCGTGCCGCCGCCACGGAAGGTGGCACGTGCTTTTGCGAAGCCCACTTTGCGGCCTTTGCCGCTTGCCCACCGCTTGGCTTCGTCAACGGGCGAGTGCCTTACCACACTCGCCTCGGCATCACTCGAAGCCGCGAGCTCGGATGCGGCCACAAGAGCGGCCTGCTTGGCACGCAGCTGCGTAATCGTCGGCCCGCGTGCGCGGCTCTTCACGGCCTGTGCCGGCGAGTTGGCGTTCACGCGCTGAATCATCATCGTCATGGCTGCTGTCTCGCTCGCTCGTGCGTCCTTGGAACTTGTGCCCGCCTCCTTCTCCTATGAGCTCGTATGCCACGTCGCCGCCTGTGTTTGGGTTTCTATGTTTGCGATTTGGAATTTGGTATTTGTCCAGCTCTTTGTTTATTTATTTCGAGATATCGGGCCGCTATGCGAGCAGAAGCCAGACGAGGGAAAGGGCGGGGTCCCTCCGGCGCCTCAGTCCGGCCCTCCGAGGGGGGGAGGGGAGCAGCCCCCCCGCTTCAGAACCTGCCCGCCGCGCGCCGCGCTTTTCGCCGTCTTCGCCTCTCAGTACGCAAGGAGAGTTCGAGTATTTCACAGTATTTCCAGTATCCCAGTATCCGAGGTGCTGTGGCGCAGTATTCCAGTATTTCAGACACGCAAAGCAAGTATTTTTATTGCAATACTGCATGCTACCTGCACACGGCCCTTGGCCAAGTATCCCAATATCCCACAAGCGAGGGCCAAGTATCGGTGGCGCAAATACCTCTCTGCCGCGAGGGTGATACTGCAATACTGGGCCTGGGGCATGCAGATATTGTGTTACTGAAGTAGTGTGGCCCTGGCAGTATCGCGCAGTATTTTCACCGAAATACTCGGAGCCGGCGCATCGGATACTGGGATACTGCAGGATACTGCGGGATACTGCTGGATACTGCTGGATACTGGCAATTCATGGAAGTGTGCCCGTGTGTAAGCCATGGTCCAGCAGCCAGCTGCATCCCCATCCTTCTCACTGGTAGTTGTCACCATGCAGCTGCACCCCTCCCTAGAGCATCCCCGGCTGATGTGGATACCGGATCCTCGGAGACTGGGATACTGGGATACTGCGGACCGGCTTGGGCCACAAATGTCGCAAGTGGGCTGTGGTGATGCCAGGCGTTATGTGATTGTTCCAGAATGCATCGGCAAGAGTTGCGATGTGTGGAAGCTCACGAGTTCTCCGACCGCAGCTCGACAGTCCGTAAAGAGCTCGTATCCGCTGCCATTTCTGCCGCCGAGCTGAACAGCGGCGGTGAAGCACGGCCGGCTGTGTCAGGACCGCGCCCGGCGCTGGAGAGTGCTCGAGAGCATCCGACATCGTCGGCCACAGCGGCAGGGTCGGCCGAGATGATTCAGTTTATGTGCAGGTCCGTCACCCGTTTGCCGTGATGCTCGGCGGCGGCGCCCACACCGGTGGGTTCACTCGAGACGGTCCGGCGCCAAAGAGGAGCGTCGGTTACCAGAGCCTGGTATGTGGGAAGCGGTGTGCTGCCGATTCGGGTCGTGCGGGGCTGTTGGGGTCGGCGGGAAGAGACTTCAACGACAGCTCTGTTCGGCGAAGCGCGAACTCGCAAGAAGGACGCCCCCCCCCGGGACCCCCCGGGGCTTCTCGTTTGAGAAACAACTTGAACCACCACTATGTTTGGATCATGTCGGTCCTTTCTCACGTCCCGCAACGATCGCAATGACACCGCCCACCTGAATTGGACAAGTTTCGTGAGTCTCGAGGTTTTTGAGTCCGACTTCTAAGGCAAAGGGCGCGGGCGCGGGCGCGGGCGCGGGCAGGGCGCTGGGGCTGCGCTACCGCCTGTACCACCGCCACTGACCCAGGCCGAGAAGATCTTCAACAACATCCACGAGCACGTGCGCAACCGCATTGAGACCGTCATCCGGAAGATCAAAGATCACAAGATGTTTGCTAGGGGCGCAGCGTTCACGGGCAGCTATGAATCACTCTGTGAGGTACTGCAGGTGGTGGGGCACCTGACAGCATTGGAGCTGCGCATGTACCCGTATTTCAACGGGTTTGGGCCATGGGCCCACTAACTAGGTCTAGGTACTAGGATACTGCGGCGCGCAAGAGGAGAGAAGACCGCGCGGGAGCAGTGTTCACGGCGTGTGTTGGTGGTGCTTGGTGTCTTGGTGGTGCTTGTGCCTTGCAAGTTGTGTATGCCGAACATGACAGACGGCATGCACTAGGGCATGCACTGGACTCTGGGGTGTCGGGGGGGGGGGGGGGGAGGAGGCCCAGCCAATCTGAATCTACAGCCAATCTGAATCTACCTGGAATCGACCCGACGAAGGAGAGGGGAGAGGGAAAGCCAAAGGCATCCTTCGCCATGTGGTCGGGTGACCCTTATTACCCAGGTCGTGAATCGAAACTTTACTTGTCGCGAATCATGGGCGCCGCGGTATCCGATAAGTAGAGGCGAACGATGGACGTTTTGTCGCCGACTGAAGCCCGTCGCGAACACCGTGCGCGGCAGCATTCAAGCGGCACAGGCATTGCGAGCACGCTGGTGCTCCTGCGTGCCGGCACCAAGCTTCAATTGCCGAGGCTGACACTGCATCACAACGTTGATATCGCTTGTGGGAGCTGACGCGCCCAGCCAATCCAGCGCCCCTAGCCATCGAGATAGCTCTGGGGCCCTTTTACAGCACAGCTGCTGTGCAATCTACTGTGATCCCTGTGCGTGCGCCGCAGGACGGTGACCACCTTACTGCGCTCAATGTTCGCGGCCGTAACGCCTCCCCGGTGTGAGTCTTCCTCCTCACACAGCACCAGCACCAGTGCACTGCCACGACACTCGCCCTCAGTTCCAGCACTGGCGCCTCTGCCGTCTTCGACCACCTTGTGCCTATGCCGCCTTCACCACCGCGCCAGCCCTTGCACACGCGTTTACACCATTGCGCCGGCAGGGCACGGGCACACGCTTTACGGCAGTCTTCACTTACCCACGCTGCTCAATTGGCTCAATCCCTCCCCACCTAGCTGCTGCCTCGCATCCCGCTGCTGGACGTACGACTGCGGCCGCAGCGCAATGCATCGCTCGAGGGCCGACCCCGGATACTGGGATACTGCAGGATACTGCGGGATACTGCTGGATACTGCTGGATACTGGC